GAAATACTTCGTTCTTACGATATTTAATGCCTTCAGAACGCCAAGAAACTGCATTGGTAACTGCAAGAGGTGGGCGGGGTTGGAGTTCGAGCTTATGACCTTCCTGTGTAATATACTCCTGCAAAATTTTGGAATCCNGTTTCTTTATTGGGGTTATATATAGCTAAAATTGGTGACTTTGTAAGTTTACTTTTCAATTCATCAAAAGCATCAATGCAATTATTATCGAAATTAAAATTGGTATCCTTTTTCAACATATTTAGCAATGGCTTCGCAATTTGTGAAAACGATTGTATGAATCGTCTGAAGTATGAAAAGAGGCCAATGCAAGATTGAAGTTCCTTGTGGTTTTTCGGAATGGGATAGTTCTTTATGGCCCTTATGTGTGACACACTTGGTGCTAAACCAGAAGGAGAAACTGAATATCCTAGGTATTCAATTTCCTGATATCCGAAACGGCATTTATGTAAGTTAAGCTTTAACCCATTCTCCGCAATTCGGTTTAACACTGTTTCTAATAATGATTTGTGCTCGGCATAATTGGAAGTTGCTATTAAGATGTCGTCCATGTAAACTGTTATTTTCCTTGCGTCAATTAAATCCCTAAAAATAGTATTCAAAAATCTTTGAAACGTGGCAGGCGCATTTTTTAGTCCGAACGGCATTTTCAAATACTCATATTGTCCATTGGGCGTAACAAAGGCAGTAAGAGGAACGGAATCGGCAGCTACACTAATTTGGTGGAACCCATCTTTTAAATCTAATATTGAAAATAGTGTTTTGCTCTCTAAGTATTCTATACAATCGTCAATAAGAGGCAGTGGATAGTTATCCCTCACTGTTATTTTGTTTAACCCTCGATAATCAATGCATAGGCGTGTTTGACCGTTCTTCTTTTTCACAAGTACTATGGCAGAGGCATATGGCGAATTACTCGGTCTTATTATTCCCTCTGCTAGTAAATTGCTTATAATATTTTGAACTTCGCTGCGTTCCGCGAATGAAAGCCGTCGAGGCGTACAATAGAACGGAACGTCCGTCGTCAAATGTATCTTCATTTCATATTTCAAGGGGTTTACTGCAACTTCTACCGGGTTGACATATGCGTTTAGTATTATTGATTTTAATTCCAATTGACATTCTCTATTTAAAACAGGACTAATATCTAACAACTCGCTTTCTAGGTCAATTTCAATACTGAATACATCAGGCACGTCATAAAAACTCTCATGTTTCAGGATATCCTCACCTTTCTCCAACTCAACTTCCGGAAGTTTGCGTATTATATCACCAGAACAACTCATTTTATTACATTTAAGAATATTGTATCTACCCAAAATATTACGTAAATTATTCGACAGGGAATTGCAAGCGATTTCATTTATTTTATTAAAATTCATTAGCTGAGTTTTATTGAACTTCAATTTTGTCTTAATTAGGTTAATATTAAAGGACTTTAAAAAATTTCGTCCTAAAATGACAGGTACTGACATAGCGTCATCAGGCAAAACATTAATAACAATAGTCTTCAATTGCATTTCAGATTTTATAGTACATTTTATTTCACCTAAAATTTTTAATTTTCTTCCACCAACACCTCTGTAGCTTCTTTTCCCCAAACTCGAAACTTCCGTAACATTAATAGGCACGCAAGACTGTTTGATGAAACTAGCCGGACTGCCGGTATCAAAAAGAGAGAGATATTCGTAAAAACTTGCACTTCCCCTTGAACTAACATTGAATGAGATACTTACTAAATTAAGCGAATCTAAAACTCTCGGATCCTCCTCAACAGCGGCAACTTGTTTTCCAGGAACGGCCTTCAAATTTTTCTTCGGATTGTTGCACTCCCTATGGCTGTGGCCCATTTGCCAACATCGAAAACATGAACCTCTAACCCGCAGCGGGTGCGGACAATTGGGCTTAATGTGACCCCTTTGCGAGCAATTGTAGCATAAAGGGTTATCGGCACTCGTATCCGTAGTTGTTTTAGCGGCATTGTCGGCAACAGCAAGCGATTGTTTTGTTTTTCGTAGATCGGCAGCGGCATTCTGGGTCAAATATTTCTGTTGGTACCTGTTCACCAACTTCTTTAGCTCCTCCACAGAACGAGCTCCAACTAGCAGGTTGATGTTGTTGACCTTATTACCTATACCTTCGATTATAAAGTCGATAACCTCCAGTTCGCCAATATCTGAGCGCTTTGCGATTGACTGCATAACCAGAATGTAGCAATGCAGGGACTCTTCTTCCTTCTTCCAATAGCGTCGGGCCAGCATCCTATAAACATCTCGGCGCGAGACGACCGTGCCAAACTCATTGATCAGAGCTTCTCTCAGCGCTTCAAACGTAAAGACATTAGCAGTCTTGAGGAACTGGCGGGCTGTACCCGTAAGCGAACGGCGCAAGCTTAAAAACAAAAACTGTTCATCGGCATTAATGCTTGCCATCACTTCGGAAAATTCTCGTAAAAAGTCGGTAACGGAGTGCGCCACCTCGTCACCACTAAATTTCGGAACGGCATATTCAATGTCGCTGAAGTTCACGCGTCGTCCAGGTACATGGGCGGGACCCGATGCAGAAACATTTTCGAGCTCCTTGATTTGACGCTTCAATTCTAATATTTCCTTCTGCTGTCTCAATTTTTTAATTTCCTCATCAAGAGCAGTAGTTGAAGATTCATTTAGCTCGGAAATAATGTTAGGGGCGTTGGTATTAATATGACTGGTAACGGCACGACGATTTAAAATGGCGGCTGGCCTATTCGCGGCGACGTCTTCGGAGTCAGCAGAATTTCTAATAATCGCGGCAGCAGCAGAGCTTGCCACAGCGGCACCGGCTTCATCGGTAACAGCGGCAGCATCGGTAGCGGCAGAATCGTCAACGGCAGTAGCGGCATTATCGATAGCGTCAATTATTTCAACGGCGGCATTACCGTTTACGGCACCTTGCATAGTCGCTACGTCATAAACGCTGTAAGTGGCGTCATCTAAAGTTAAAATGGCTCCTTGAGCGTCGGCAGCGTCGACGACGTAGACGGTACCCCGTTTTCCATCGACGTTTTCCCCCGGGAATGCACCAAAGTCGCCGTCCACCAACTTAAATTGTCTAGACTGATCAGCGCCACAAGTTTTGGTCGGACACTCATCGCCTGCGTCAATCTCCCAAGGCTCATCTTCGCCTCGGCAGTCTTTGTACAGACGCTTCAACTGCGCAACCGTGGCCGTCGGCGGAAAATCAATTTTGAGAGCCTTTAATGCTGTAACCAGACTCTGCTTGCCTTGTTGACCACTCATTTTATATTATTCTTATTTTTTGTTGTTGTTTTAACACTTTTGTTTAATTAAACTTGAAGTTTTTAATTTTGGTATTAACCACACCTGACGTTATAAGAAACAAGTCTTCGTTCGTTGGATGTTTTCTCAGTAATGGTAGCAGTTACTATTTGAAGTGCCGCCAGAGTGTATTTATTCGTATTCACACGGTTGCATTCGTTATGTACTAAAACTATCGTGACTTACAACTAGTTACCTAACCATACGTTTACAATTATTGAGCTTACAATAATTATTTTTTTTTAAATTAAAAATTTTATACAAAATAATGATTATTTGAAAAATTAAAACAATCAGGCTAAAGCGTGTCTAATTAACTATTATCGTGGATAAAATCAGCAAGATACATGCTATGAATCAGTGTATAATAAATAATTACTGAATTCATAAAAAAAATGTTAATAACAAAAACTGTTATAAAAATTCAAATTTTGCAAAATTGTTCATTATTTTGTTTTTATGGTTGTAAACCGAATAAAGTGATTTGTTCGAAAAAATCTCGACCATTCAATTTTGGGTGGCCCACTTGAGAGATTTTCAGTCAATAATTGTTTATATCAGCATTTTGGCACTGATTTGAATGTGTTATATATCACAAATAGTGTCGTCCTCCTTAGCTGCTTTTAAATGACACAAATGTCACAAATTGTTGGCGGCGACTTGAATACAAGTGTATAAAAAATTGCTTTTCTGTAATTGTTTTATACAATGAGTTTCTTTTCCATCTTAGACATTCCAAATTCATTCAAAATATGCTAAGTAATTTAAAAACAATTATTTCAGAGCTCCTCCGGGGTTTTCCTCTGTTTCTTCAATTTAATAGTTTAATCTTGGAAACCAAACAAATTTTGCGAGTATCTATCATTTCTACATTCTTTCTTCAAATATTTCTCGTATTCCAGCGTTTTTTTTTTTTGAGTTTGGTTTTTCGCATCGTGTTTTTATTATATTCGTAATTTTAAATTTTTTAATAAAATCAATTGGTGGTGGTTCATGATTGTGTGTTGATTAATAGCACACTGAGGATTTGGCAATAACCTCTTTCATCTATGGAAACAATACCTACGGGGCAATGTTTGTTGTAACATCATTCATATCTCACGTACGATGCAAGAAGAAAAAAATTTCTTTGAAAAGACATACTTTAAGCATTATTGCCGCTATTTCCATTTGAATGCGTAAATAGCAACATTTACTTTATTTCCAAATTTTTGTTGACTTTATTTCGCTTTTGAAAATACAATAATGTCAATTGACTTTATTTCGCACCAGCATGCGAAATAGTGTCAATTCACCTTATTTCCGTTGATCTTGTTACCTGTCACCGTGGAAGAGAAACCCATTTTACAAAATTGAAGTCGTTCTTTTACACTTTAGCATCATATTTTTACTTCTCAAAGCCTTGCGCCAACTATCACTTCTTTCATATTGATCATTGATCTTTATTAACATAAAGACATAAAATCAGCTGATGAATTTAGTTCTGTAGCTGAGCAGTTTTAGATCTCGGCACTGAACAAACTCCTGCCTATCGTGACTCGGCGCAAAAATTGAAAAAAACTGGTTCCGTACGTCATGGGGACTGCACCCCTCGTGTGGATGGGCGGGATTGGAGGGTAAAAACCGTTGGGATTGTTATTATTCTAAGTGCAAAAGGTCGAGACCCGTCTTGGGCATATTTCGAGCTGAAACATCATTTTAGCCAACTCAAAAGAATAAAATCTCAAAATCGGTAGTTTATCTTTGAATTTATGGGCACGAAATGGGTACCAAATATCATCAAACTTCTTTTGTTTCATTTCTAGTTCGTTTCATACCGTGGGTCTTAACAATATTAATCTTGATCTTAGCCTCAGTCTCAGCTTTTGTCTATTAATTTATTAATTGTAAAATAATCGTAAAAATATTTTTATGAAATATGAATTCGGTAGTTGTCTAAAATCCATCCATCGAACATTCCTTCTTTGCTAGCTGTATCAACTTTACTCGACCCGAGGTTCACAAAAATTCATTTCAAAGATTCGTTAGCATTGGCGGCAGTAATAAATTTTTTGCGAACTGAAATAATGTGCGCAGATGATCTTATGGAAACGCGTAGCTTTTATGTAGTTACTAGAATCAGTAGAAAATGAGTTCGATCTTTGGGCCCCTCATAAATCTCTTATTAGACAAACGAAGCCGAAAAGATGATGATTTGGGTCACCCACAATATGAAATGAGTTTTTATTTACATTTTCAAGTCCTATAACTAAAGCGGAATAACATCGACGCCTGGAAGGAAATTAATACTGTTTACCTAAAACTTTACGGACTTTCGAAAAAATACTGTTATTTAGTTGGTATCTCGGCGCCTGCTGAGCGCCTTTTTTCAAAAGCTGGTGCTACAGCCACCGATAGCCTTTGTTTTTGCTAATTAACAAGAGAGTTTGAAATTTTTTTATGGAAAAGTGTTTTTGTGAATACTCACTGTAAGAAACTGCATTTAAAAATTCGATTAAGCGATTATTTCTCAATAATTATAATACAACTAATAAATGGAACTAATATTTTTTGGCTTGTGATTAATCATATGATTAATTTATTGATTTTATTTTTTTGCCATTCCTAAGTGGGACGGCCTCCTACCTTCATGGACCAGGTTTTCAGGCATTAACCTTTTTTTGTTTGTGACTGCGGGTTGGAAGTGGTGGCAAGGAACACGGCACGCATCTTCCACTCAACGCAGGCTGTCACAACCCGTATGTACATACTAACCTACGAAATCACATATGATACAAAATGCACACCAATAAAGACCGCCAGTCGTTTTCCTTCTGTGCCAATTGAAAATGCCAGTAAAGTCCAATCCTTTTCCACCTGGTCTCTCCCTTGCCGAGGTCTCCTTCTTCAAATGTAAGCCGGAATTCGAAAAAAAACGACAATATACATACAGTGTCCATTTAAAGTCTTCGTACATCATATTGTTTAAACTGTGACGCCAAAAAAATTACTACTTGCAACATTTTTGTAAAAAGTTTAAATGTAAATCTCTTTAATAAATATTGACGTTTCACACAACAACAAAACCCTTCTTTTATTTGTGCAGAAGTTAGTAGCTCAAAAAGAAAAAATCGAAATTTGCTCCCAATAAAGTCTTCGTACACTAGGGTTTTCCGTATCGCTTATGCAACTTGTTGCTGCAAATCGTTCATCTCTAAGAAGGTGTAAAAAAATAATAGTTCGAAATTAGCGCCATTTATTTGTAATAAGGCGAGAGCAAATTTGAACAATCTTTTTGCACAAAATGCCTGGTAAATACTTATCGAAAGCTTACATTTAGGGCTCGGAATCTCATGCACTAAAATATCGAATATAAGCGCTATAAACAAGTAAAATATGCAATTAAAAATATTTTCCTAATATTTAGTTGCCGGTACTAAAATACATGGATTTTAACAAGAAAATAACGAAAACAATTCACTTTAAAATACAATACATAATTATGTACAAAATTAGCTTATAATCAAGCAGACAGCTTTAATCTAAAATATAAACATAGTGTTTAATATTGGTACGTATGTATGTCGGTGTCTGTTTGACGTAGCAACCTCAGTGTATGATGTAATAAACCTTTTCCCAGTTTTTCACCAATTGGTCCCCAAGGAGTACTTTTGGATTGTGCAATGTTTTCGTTTTGCGCGCACGGCAGCACTTATGTACCTCTTGATTAGAAAAAGTTCTTATCGAGGATAAAATATATATATGTAATTGTGTTATTTATGAACAAAATGTAGGTTAAATATAATATCAATGCTTAATTAAGAATAATCAGCCTCATTGCGTAAGTCGTAAATTAGGCTGAATTGTACGACTCGACAACATTAGCATTGTCTACTGTCGTGCTGAAATAAGTAAACGATGAAAATTGTCGAAAACTATGCAGTGCTGCCAAGTTTTTCCGTTTTAATACACTAGTCGAGTGGAAATTTTAGGCAATGGCGCTAAATTTTCGATACGAGTCGACTCTCGAAAAACGACTTGCATTCGGCACGACTCCCGCAATGAGGCTGAATATCAATAGTAAAGTACATAATTATTGTGTGTTGGTGTTGGTTGATTTTTCCGACAGGGTGGTAAGATGATTTATTTTGGAACAAATTCGTTCCAATATAAATCAACTTACATAATTATTGCTTGTGTTTCCTTAAACTGGAAACTCAAATCGTAATTATAGCACTGAATGGAGTTTTCATAAATATAAGTTTAAAATCAATAAAATATCCATTGCAAGATTATATTTTTATGAAAAACGTGAATTTTGTGAATTTATCAAGGAAAATTTTAAATTTCCGAATATATTTACGTCTTTATTCCGAAACACAAAAAAAAATGTTTGAATAGTTATAGAGACTCCAAAGCCTGCCAGCGCATCCGCCCAGAGAGCTCATTAAGCACGCCCAAGTTTGAGCGACCATTACCCGGAGCTCAAAGTATAGAATGTCATAAATATGAATCATAAACACATACACTAGTAATTGCTATGAATGGCTGCCGTATAAACTCAGGACACGCATTTGCTTGGAGACTCCGAAGGTTAAGGTGGTCATAAGTTCAGCCAACACATTCAATGGTCCATTACCCGGAGCTGCTCCAACATGATGAGTATATTTTAGTGAGGCTCACATGCCACTGCCTCTGGCTACGCGTTAAATATCGGAATATTCCAAAATAAATAGCAATTATCTCTTATGATTATAAGAAAAGTGTTTGTTTACAAAATTACCTGTGCCACTCTGCCATGGTACGGTTGTTGCTCCCTTTCATACCACAGTAAATTTGTATGCAACTCTGAATCGGCAAAATTGATGCTCCTGCTCATTATCAACCCAGATAAGATTTTATCCCCCGAGTATTCAAAAAGGTTTATTACTGTATACATATACTGTGGTAGCAACATATAAAATTTACTGTTGGTAGAGAGAGAGAGAAGCACGCGTAACCGTCGCACGTACACGGTTGTGAGTTTTAATTTACATAACGCTCTCATATGTTTGATCGTGTCAGGCCACACTCACTGCCGTAAACGTACGTTAACGTGCCAGCGATACGATCCTGTATGGTTCTATCTCTGCTTGGCCTCCAAGTGATAAATTTCGGTAATTTTTGCGTGGTACACATATTAGGGTAATTTCGTATTAATCAGAGATATATTCCAGCTCTCTTCTACAGCCCTCCACTAATTGAG